ATTTTTCTTACAGAAAATCAGAGTATTGTGGGGAACCACTTTTGTTTAGCTTGTCTGATATTTCCTTGCCCACTGCTCCTAGCAAGCAGGTGTTTTCTTCACACATGCATTGAAAGAGGAACAGTTGAGCAGCTTCCTGATGTTTTAACAGGGAAGCCAAGGTGACAGCAAAAATGCCAAGAAGAAGAATAATAAGAAAACAAACAAGAATAAGAGCAGCCTTAGCCGAGCCAACAAGAAGAAACCCTCCATGCCTAATGTGTCAAATGATTTGTCTCAGAAGTTGTATGCCACAATGGAGAAGCATAAAGAGGTACTATGGCCAAGCCCTCCTCATTTCCTTTTCTGCATTCACATTTGCAAAATTTAATGTTACAAAAGAGAGAGGGAGGGAAGTAGACCACATTAAACAACGTGGTACCTTGGCAACTTGGCAGTTCTCATTGGTGGAGATTGTCTTGTGCTCACCTCTTCCTTTGCCTTCACACGGCAGGTCTTCTTTGTAATTCACCTGCACGCGGGACCTGTCATCAACACCTTACCCCCTATTGTGGATCCAGACCCATTACTTAGTTGTGATCTGATGGACGGCCGGGACGCCTTCCTTACTTTAGCAAGGGACAAGCACTGGGAGTTTTCCTCACTGCGGCGCTCCAAGTGGTCCACTCTATGCATGCTTGTGGAGCTGCACACCCAGGGGCAGGATCGTTTTGTTTATACCTGCAACGAGTGTAAACATCATGTGGAAACACGGTGGCATTGCACAGTCTGTGAAGTAAGTATATGTTGCCTGTTTTGATGCTACTCCAGGTGAGAATTGGCCTGCAAACCTGTCTCTTCTTTTCTACAATACTTTTAAAAATAATAGGATTATGATTAATATGATATATAACAACAACTGTGGAGCCAGTTATTATGATTTGAGCATCAGTTTTACACATTGAACAAAGCCATATGTGGAAATTCTATAGGAATCCTATTTTCTGAGCAAGGATGTTCTGTATTAGTGGCCCCTGGAGTTCTTCATTATGTTCTTGATAATTGAATGACTTATTAATAGAACTAAAACTGTGACAGATGGAATGTCTCAGGTACATGGAGCTATCTTAGGCTTGCGTCTGGAGTGGTCTAAAGGCCATTCAGCCTCTCCTGAGCATGCATGCGGTTCACCTGCAGAAAAGAATAGGGGGGGGTTGTGAAGCTAGATTGAGCCTTTCTCACATTGTAGGTTGTTAATCTCAGTGTCTCTCACTTTGCTTTTCAGGATTACGACCTCTGCATTAATTGCTACAACACCAAGAGCCATGAGCATAAGATGCTAAAGTGGGGCTTGGGCCTGGATGACGACGGGAATAGCCAAGGGGAGCAGCAGTCTAAGAGCCCCCAGGAATCCCGTCGGCTCAGCATCCAGCGATGCATTCAGTCTTTAGTGCATGCTTGCCAGTGCCGCAATGCAAATTGTTCATTGCCGTCCTGCCAGAAGATGAAGCGTGTTGTCCAGCACACCAAGGGCTGCAAGCGCAAGACCAACGGAGGCTGTCCTGTGTGCAAACAGCTGATTGCCCTTTGTTGCTACCATGCCAAACACTGCCAAGAGAACAAATGCCCAGTGCCCGTCTGCCCCAACATCAAGCATAAGCTCCGGCAGCAGCAGATCCAACACCGTCTGCAGCAGGCGCAGTTGATTCGCCGCAGGATGGCAACCATGACCACCCGAAACGTGCCTCAGCAGAATTTGCCTTCTCCTACCTCAGCAACGCCTGGGACCCCGACACAGCAGCCAAGCACCCCACAGACTCCCCAGCCCCCTCCCCAGCCTTCCCCTGTTAGCATGTCACCAGCTGGTTTTCCTAGTGTAGGAAGAACGCTGGCACCCCCTCCCATTTCAGCGGGCAAGCCTTCCACCCAGGTGGCTGCTCCGCCTCCACCTGCCCAACCCCCACCAGGAGCTGTCGAAGCAGCCCGGCAGATTGAAATTGAAGCAGCCCAGCAGCAACAGCAGCAGCAGCAGCAGCAACAGCAGCAGCTACTCTACCGGGTGAGCAGCAATGGCTTGCCTCCAGGCCGAACAGGGATAGTGAGCACAGCAGTGGGGACGGTGAATCCAATGCAGCAAGTTGGCATGAATGTGCCCCGGCCTAACTCAGCCAGTGGTCCAATATTGCCCAACCTGCAGCCTGGGCAGTGGCAGTCATCAGCTCCGGTGCCCCCACAGCAGCCAGGAATGCCAAGGCCCGTCCTGCCTATGCCTGGCCAACAAGCAGTAACTGGCCCAAGGATGCCAGGTGTGCAGCCACCAGCCCGAACGATTCCTCCAAATGCTTTGCAAGAGTTATTGCGGACTCTGAAATCTCCTAGTTCCCCGCAGCAGCAGCAGCAGGTGCTGAATATCCTGAAGTCGAACCCACAGCTCATGGCAGCTTTTATAAAGCAGAGAACAGCCAAATACGTAGCAAACCAGCCTGGCATGCAACCCCAGCCAAGCATTCAACCCCAGGCAGGCATGTCACAGACTCCAAGTCCACTGCAGCAGCCGCCTCCACCAGCAGGGTTGCATGCTCAAACAGGCCTGCAGAATCTGAGTGCACTGCCAGCAGGTGTCCCACGACCGGGGGTCCCTCCCCAGCAACCAGCCATAGGAGGCCTGGCTACACAGGGCCAGTCAATCAGTATCATGAACCCAGCTCACAATCCAGCTATGGCCAACATGAGTCCTCAGTACAGGGAGATCTTGAGAAGACAATTACTCCAGCAGCAACAACAGCAACAGCAGCAAGGAGGAGCTGGGCTGGCCACTCACAGTCAGTTCCCTCAGCCTCCAGGCCCCGGAGTTTATGCCCAAGCCATTCAGCAGCAGCGGATGCAGCAGCAGCAGCAGCAGCATCTTTCAATCCAAGCAGGGGCCATGGGGCAGCTAGCGCAGATGGGACAGCTGAATCCTATGGGGCAGCCAGCCCTGGGAGCTGATGGCAGCCCTAACATCCAGCAAGCTCTGCAACAGCGACTCTTGCAACAACAGCAGCAGCAGCAACTTAAACCACAGATGGGCTCCCCAGGCCAACCAAATCCCATGAGCCCCCAACAGCATCTGCTCTCAGGACAGGCTCCCTCGTCCCACCTCCCTGGCCAACCAATGAACGCCTCCCTCAGCAGCCAGGTGCGCTCTCCTGCACCCGTTCAGTCCCCACGGCCCCAGTCGCAGCCACCACATTCCAGCCCATCCCCCAGGATACAGCCCCAGCCTTCTCCTCACCATGCCTCACCCCAGACTGGCTCACCTCACCCTGGGTTGGCTGTTACAATGGCTGGCTCCATGGAACAGGGACACTTGGGCAACCCAGAGCAGAGTGCAATGCTTCCCCAGCTCAACCCCCCAAATAGGAACGTGTTACCAAACGAGTTGTCCCTGGTTGGTGATACCACAGGAGGTGACACACTAGAAAAATTTGTGGAGGGCTTGTAGCATCACATCGTTTCTCTCATGTTCCTGGACTTCTTGAACTGAAAAAGACTTATAGCTTGAGCTAAACCCTAGATGGGACTGATTCATCCTCTACTTGTGAATGGATGCTGTTTAAAAAAAAAGAGAATATATATTTTTTTGTTAAAGCCAGCCAGGTGTGGTTAAAATATCTGGTCTCCTTGTTGTGGGTTTTTTTTTTTTTAGTTGTTATCGTTGACTTTACTTTTTTAAAGGGGAAAACAAGTCCATTATATTCATATTTTTATTTGTACTTTCAAAACTAAGCAGTGATGTTTAGCAGAGGAGAAAAATACTCACATTCTAATGTATCTTGCTACATTTCTGACATTTGGCATAAAGTTTTGTTTTGTTTTAGTCTTATTCTATTCTGGATTTTGCAAGTATCCTAAGTATTATTACCCCTGGGAAAGATAGGAACTGACTCTTGCACACACAAACACACATTGCAGATGTAGAAATTGTTGCTTGTTTCTCTGATAAAACTGGTTTTAGATTTAAAAAAAATAGGGACACTCACTACTTAGGACATATTTTAACAGGGAAGAAGTGTATTCTGTAATTCTTCAATGTGAACTTGAACTGAGGAAAAGCAATTACAGTGTAAATCATGCAAACTATAATTACTATAAATATGAACAATTCAAGATTCAATCACTGTATAGAGGGGGGAACAAACTTATTTCTTACTTCTATAGTATATTGTTAAATAAACTGTGTGCAACAGACAAAAAGGATGTCCTTGAATTCATGTACATGGTATTAACTTAGTGTTTGGACTTTTTTGTTATGAAAATGCTGTTTTCAACATTGTATTTGGACTATGCATGTCTTTTTTCCATTGTATATAAAGTATTGCTTAAAAGTGATATAAATTACTGAAGTTTTTAAAATGTTTCTGTCTTTTAAAATCCATGTAAGATTGTCACAGTTTGTACTTGCCTGTGTGACTCTAGGGAGATAGGTTTGAGTTCATTGAAAGGCATCCAATAAGGAAGTAGTACTCTATAGAACTCTTTGAAGCACTAAAGAGCAATATATTCCCACTACTACTTGGCTGTACTAATTCATGAGAATCAATAGAAAGAAATTAGAAATATTTGCTTTTTAAAAAACATTTTGGGAAAGGAGCACTAGTTTAACTGAAACAGATGCTTCCTAAAGTAAAATAAAAAAAAACCAAGGCTTTCTGTGCAGGAACAATGAAGAAGCTACACAACAGATCCAGAAAGGACAAGACAATCCCTTTCATTGATTTTCCCAGCCTGGTCCTATCTATGATGCTCCATGACTATAGTATTTTTGAAGGAAGCAAAATTGGGCTTCTTACTCTGCCTCACTAAATGATCACTAGGAGATACATGATGGGTTTTGTCAGGTACCATAACTGGCAAATGTATCTAATATATTACAATTTCAATGTAACTGAAAATACCACACACAGGGTACACTGTACAGAGAAATCCACCCTTCCTCAGGTGAAGGGTGATGGTATGGAAGTCATGTAAAACCTCTTACATAAGGGCATGACATAATTTTAACGTTTATTTAATAAACATGGCTGCCCATCTTATATATATCACTCTGGGTAGCAACAGTTAAAAAAATTGCAACGTGGGACCAATGATACTTCCAAAAAAATGTTCACATTTAGTACATAAAATAATTTGCTTTTTTTAATGGGGAGGAGGTAAGAAATGAAATCAATTGTATAATTTAAGCAGTCTAAAAGAAGACTTGCATTACCATCTCCACATGCAAGCATTAACAGTTTGGCTCCAGTCCTCCCAAATCTTTGAGAAGCAAAAATTTATAGTGTTCAGTAAAAATGCTGCCCTCTCACATCACATCATCTTGCTGTCTTCTTCCCAGCTTTGCATTTTTTTACACTACAACACCTGGGAGACAATTTTGTAATAAATTACTTGGGTGGTAGTCTCGGGTGACATAAACTTGAAAGTTATCTTTGCAAATGAAGGAGTATGTTTTTCCCTCCATCAGCCAGCCCTCAGGGTAAGGATATGCCGAAGATACAGTGTCCCAACATGTATGCTGAAATCATTCCTCAGGATTGGATGCAAGGCTGAGAACAGCTGTTGCAAGTGACCAACTCTGACATCCCTTCTCAAAATCTTCAATTTGGACAAGAAGGCAGTTTTGACTTAACCAAATTGAGCATGACCTGTCCACATCAGCTGCAGTCTGTAGAAAACTTAAATCCATAGACAATGTCTTTTATTACCAAATAGAGACTACCTATATCTAAGTCAACAAGAAAGTGGACTGAAGACTACCCCTGCAATCAACACACTTGTCCAAAGCTGCTCTGGGGATGCAGGCTATCCACTGTCCAAGCCAAAGTTTGGCTGTAAGGGATCAAACTCACTTCAAACCCCAACACAGATTTCCCCCGAAAAAAGGATTGAGCAAAGAAAAATACATAAACATGAAAAAGGAGAAGAGGTAGGTGACTGGAAAGTTGCAGAGGAAAAAATCTCCAGGAGTTCACATTTTGGGAGAATATCTAAAGGGCTTAGCATCACCTTTGTCCCTTTCTCTTGGATCTATGGAGGTGGTGTTGTTTTTCTCTCCTAGCTTCTGCAGTGGTAAACGTGATGCAGTTTGCATCCAAAAAGTCCAGTAACTTGTCCAATGAAATCCTTATGCCATTTTGCTTCAGTTCTGCATGCAGTACAGAAAGTTCAATGGGCTGATACAGCAGAATTTGCTGGCAAAGAGATGGGTTGGAATGAATATAGTGCTTCAAGAATTCCAGTTGCTGACCCTCACCACTAGCGGCAATCTGAGAGGCTGGTACATTTTCTTCTTTCTCTGACAGCGTGCTGATTTTAAACTCCACAGATGAACTAGGAACAGGATGAGAAAGGAAAGGGCATTAAGATACCTAGACAATCTCTTAAATTTACTTCATTTTTTAAAAAGCTGGGATACCTGGTATAACCCAGGCCAGAACTACTCACATCCACTACACAGCATCAACACAACCATCCCCCAATTTAAGGCTAAGTGTAGAGAATATGGCTGAGGACAGAGTGGGCAGGTGATTTTCAAAGTTTTTGCCTTCACGCCTCAGCATCTGGTGATACATGCCATCAGCCTAAAAAGTCAGAATGGAAAAATGAACACACATTCCAATCTGCCCTATACCTTTGAAATGCTGCATAAGTCTCATTTCCAGTTCCTGTTGTGCCAGCTGACACTTGAGAAGTTGTCAGGATTAGATCTCCATTGCCCTCTCCATCAGCTAATCTCTTCGCAGGAAAAGCAGCTCTCTTTGGCCACCCAAGTCCAGCCTCTGGCCTCTGAGCGCCTCCTTCAGAGAGATCTGTAAGGTTAGTTGTATTTGGGTTCCCCTGAAGCAGTCGATAAGGGGCAAGACGTTTCTGCTCCAGTTTCTGAAAAGAACTGGTAGCAACTGGCATAGATTTTTTCTTAGAGTCGGTTCGTGCCTGTTGGTGAGTAAATTGAAAAATTTCCTTCAGTTTTAAAACCATCTGCTGCTTTGGGAGAGCACGGACACCAAATCTGAGAAGAAAAGGAGATCAAATCACAATTCACAAGAACAACCTGCAAAATAATTTTGCAAGTTCTTGCCTACAGAAGGGTCCTGATTTGATCCTGACAGCACCCACCTGCTCAATTCCTTCTTCAACTCTGGGGTGTCCATGCTTGAGTAAGGTGGCAAGGGCATGAATGGAGAAACGCAAGAGATGTCCCTGGCTTGGCAGGCAAGATCTGTGACTGATCCAAAGGAAATTGAATCAAATTAGCCACATGAGCTATACTCTGCTGCAAAACATGTCTATCACCACTATATTTACTACATTGGTTAGTAGTCCACAGTAAAATCATCCCAAACCTCTGGGAAGAAAGCTGTCAGATAGACATCCCCATCATACACTTTTTTTAAATTAAAAAAATGCTCAGCAATTAATTAGAAAAGTGCCTTAGGAGGAGGAAGCCAAAACTGGATTTCTAGATTATTGCTCCCCTCCCAGGAAATAGAGCTCATCCAAAATAACAGGTGGGCTCATCCATCCAAGAAGGAAGATCACTGTCTTTAGCAAAACTGAGTAAAATGCCCAATGATGTTTAACCAGTTGCAAGGATTCTGGTCTTGAGCTTCAGTGGGATCGTTCACTGAGCTTCAAAGGATTCGACAGCTAAGTGGGAGGAAAAGTGCTCCCATTTTGGGGGGCCATGTTACAAAGCAGCCTTAGCTGTCAAAGAAGTTGTCATAACTGACCCAAAGCAGCAACTTACCAGAAATCTTTGAAACAGGAATGGAAGCTGACAAACTTGAGCAGGCAGGAAGAGCTTCATTGCTGTCAGAGTCTTTTCCAGGCCAATTCTGAGACTTGTGCAGTAGCAAATCTCCCACTCCAAAATGGAACGTGGCTGCTGAATTAGCTACACTACTAGCAACATTCACAGGGTGATTGTCCTGCATGTCAAACATGTGCACAGAGGCCTTCAATGGATTTCTGGCATTTGGAGTTCTTACCTCCAAAGATTCTACAAAGATGCCCTTTGAGCATGGTGGCACTGCTTCCTGCTCCTCCTCACTGTCATCCACAACCACATCTCTCTCTGTTGCACACAGGCCATTGTTAGGTTTCACTACTTTGAGCAAAGAAGTAGATGAAAGCACCGGTAGAGGTTTATAGCTGCAAGACAACGGTTTCGTCTGGGTTTCATGAGTCCACTGCTTTTTAAGAGAAGAATTCAACCTGGATTTTTCAACCTGCACGTCATCCAAGCTATTCCAGGCTGGCAGAGGAGTTTCAGGCACCACCAATGTCCTTCCTTCACTCCTGTCTAAACCTTCCCAGAAGCTGCCTTCTCTGTAACTACTCAGGTTCAAGGGCTGATGGCTTTCATCCAAAGATTGTACCTCATTACAAATTAGTGTGTCCACTCTATCTGCCACTTTACCTACATCCTGCTGTGGTGGAGATGGGCTCCAGCAGTTCACATTGGCAACAGCGCTCACTTTATGCCATGATTGTTGCTCAGAGAAGCTTGAAGCGGCCTCTGCCTGTTTCTTTTCTGCCTCCTGTTCCAGCTCTTCATCAGAATCCAGTACTACAATATGGTCACTCGTAATATTCAGTTCATGAGGATTCACCACACCAGACTTCTCTAGGCTGCCAATAGGAGCTTCTCCCTTCCTATTTATATTCTCTTGCTTACCATTTTGAGAGGGAAGCCTATCTAATATGTTTGGCTGTGATGCAGATGTTATCAAAGTAATCTGGAGATCTTTTGCTGACTCTTGAAAAAGTCTTGGAAAATTTCTTGTTGTGGTTTCATTGTTGGCTATGTTAATATTCTCCTTCCAGAGAGAACATTTCATTTCTGAGACAGAAAATTGGGTTGCAGACCTCTCCAGATGATTACTATGAGTGGAATCCACAGCCAACCCGAGATGAATCTCACTTGTAGGTTCTTTTCTAGTACTTGCTCCAAAGGACACTATTTCCTTAAAATCCAGCTGGAACTCAACAGAATACTTTTTCAGATCTTTTTCCATGCTGGCATTAGAGGTTTTCAATTTGGATGACTCTAGATCACATTTTATTTCACCTTCCTTAATTGTCATGGCTCTTCTGGGCTTCTCCAGTGCTTTTCTTGGGCAAGAACCACCAATTTGGCTAATCTTCTTTTCCACTTCATCATATCTGCATTCAGTGCAGACCTTTTCCTTCCTCACTTCATCAGAGGTCATTCTGCGCTGGGTAGCCACAAACTCATAAATCTCCTCTAGTTCCTGCTCATTCATACTGTCATTGATTTCATCTCTGCATACAGATTTTGCTGCGGTTTCTTCATCTTGCCACATGGATTTCAAAAGTTCCTCAAAATTTCCAACTTTGTCTTTATCATCCACTGGCTTTTCTACAGATATCTCTTCACTAGATTGGCCTTCACACAGAACCGCCAATTCTTTCACTCCAAACCTGCAACCATGCAAATATACATAAATATTCTTTCTCCTCTCTTGGTACAACCTATGGCATAAGATAATAGAATCCTTATTCATGCTTCATACAGCAAACCAAAAAGAGCAAAACTGACATACAGTAAATTTCATAATGATTTCCAACCAAATACTCTGAAGCATCAACACACCAACCTTATTGCCAGGTCAACCACATCTGACAGCAAATGTTGAGGTACGAAATGTTCAGCTGTGTAAAGGTACTTCAAGAACAGAGCAACAGCATCACCTGGAGCATCATGTAACAGCACACGGGAGGTTCTGACTTCTCCTTCTTCAGCCACCACAAAACATCTGTGGTCAACCTGGTAGCAGAACAGAAAAAGACAATGATCTTTGCAGCAGCAATCGTAATCCAAGGCTCCTTCCCTTCTTCTTACAAACTTTCCTGACCAGATATGGAAGTTGTTCTGTACTGCAGACATTCAAAAGCATTAGGCTTTCTGCCACCATAAAGTGGTTTCTAGATATGGCAAAGTTTGCCAGTCAAAAGGTCTCGTGCCTCAGCAGTTATAAACACGTTTGTATTTTTTTTCAATATAACAATACCAACTTCACTGTCTCATAAGTTATCCAAAGTCCCTTTGTTCCCTTCCACCAATTAGATTTGTAATTTTCTTCAAGCTCTTCCACTTGATGCACCCTTTTTTCTGCTCTTACAGCCTATATCTTGCTGAACTGACTTCATTTTACATTTGTCTATTGTAAGGCATAGCTGGCTGCTGCTCACAGGAATAAACTTGTTGTAAGATCTCTGGTGAATCCTGCTGCCTACAGCCACTCTTCAAAGTTTGATTTATTGGCTGCAGTTCTCTATAACTCACAAGTGAAATAACTGGTTTGTCCCTCACTGGTATTTCTCTCCCAAGCGATGCTATTAGAATCAACCTCAAAAGAAAATTTAGAGAAAAAACAATGGAAGAGGTCCACAAATGTGGATCCATAATAAAACTGAAGCATGAAAAATGTTAAAATGTTTACTATGTACATCCCTTAAATACATTATGGCTACTTACAAATTGTAAAAGCTGAGGACACCGTGCATACAATACAAACATATGGGCATAGAAGACTTCCCCACTGTCCACCTGGATCTGGATATCGCTCAAATGAGGATTATTGACCATCTCCTTGAAGGCAACAGCCAGTGAGCCAAGAGGGAACTATAACAGGAAGTAAGAAAGGGGGGAAAAATACTCAAGTTCCTATTTCACAGCCCTTAAGCAGATAGAAGATATTAAATTTCTCATTAAAAAGTGAAGTCTTCCATTTAAAAGGAAGGTTTGCGAAAAGGACTGCCAGCAAGTCACACCCCAGCTTAATCCCAGTATCTTCCAGAAGTTCTCTATTTGGCAAAAGGAAATGAAGGCATTTTTCATTATATAGAGATCCAGTTACTCTTTTGCCCCTATTATGATACTGCTGCCAAGCAACTGTAGAGCTTGATGTACTGAGTTTGGGCAGATGCTCAGTATCATTCCTCATCTAGATACAATTGCGTACAATTCTATCCTTACTTTTTCATAAGAGCAATTTTGGAATAGTTGCTGCTGCTGCTGCTGCTTCTCCAATAACCGAGTAAAAGCCTTTTGCTGAACACCTGGCATCTGTTCTTGCTCTACAAAAAATCATCACCATCATCATTAATGTAAACCTGGTGCAGAATATCGTCACTACTACAGATGAGTACAAATCAAATATGTTGGTTATATCCTTGCTCCGATACCACTGATGCCTTCAAGGGGGGTAAGGTCTAGCAGAGATTACATCTTCTTTTTAAAGCAAGACAATTCTGCCATGGAACCACGGCTCCAAAAAGAAAGATTTCTGGCTGAGACATTTTATCTTCTATGACGCTAATTCCAATAGCCTCCCAGCAGTTTACAAAAAGTAAAACAAAGTTGAAAATATTGCATTGCTTCCATCAAGTTCCAGGGACGCTGCCACCCTTATAGGTCTTCACAGCCCTCTGAATACCCAGTCCGGGAGAGGGAGGGGGGGATTGAACTGTCCTACGCCAAGCAGCCTCACCCGGGGGCTCCGGCCGCCCAATATCAAGGCTCCACTGGGTGAACGTGAGTCCTTCCCCGGCCAACTCCACGAGATCTTGCAAGGTATCGGCATCTCTCGGACGGCCGCCTTCAAAGCATTCACCGGCTCTGCTTGAGAAACGCTCCGTCTCCGGAGACTCCGCTGGGGCACCAGGCGCGCGGAACTCCGGCCTCTGAAAAGGGAGGCTCCGTGGCAGCCCGGGCGAGACCAAGTCGGCATGCAGGACCGGCCGAGCGCCCGGGCTGAAGTCCTCAAACTGGGCCGCAGGGAGACGAACGTGGCCTCGAGACGGTCCGGGGGTCTCTCCGGGGACAGAAACGCCGCAAAAGCGCGACGGTTCAGCTGCCCCGGATGGAAAGGGAGGGTCCCGCAGTCTTCCCCGGAGCCCTCCGCTTCCCCGCAGCCACGCACCTGATCGGCCCCCCGAGGGGTGACGGTCGTCAACGAGCTCAGCTCCCACAGCCAGCCGGCCGGGCTTGCCGCCGGGCCCCCGTCCCAACGGCTGACGGGCAGCGGGGGCGTGTGGGGCGCGGCCGGGGCCTCCGAGAGCAGCAGGGCCGCTCGGGCCTCGAGTCCTCGGCGGGCCTCCTCCGGCCTTTGGAGCAGCAGCGGAGGCGGCCTCCTGCAGCCCCTCGTCTCTAGGCGGAGAGCAGGCGGCAGTCAGCGCCTTCTCGGCGGAGGGGCCCCTCCTTTTCCCCCCCGCCCGACTCACCCGCCTTGGGCCGCTTCCCGCCGAGCCCGACCTCTGCGCGCGACCTGGCCGCGGCCTCCAGCGTCTCCCCGCCCGCCGCCCGCCGCCTCTTCCCTCCGGCCGGCCGAGCCGCCGAAGGGGCGCCGCCCCGCTTTAGCCCGCGGCCCGGCGGGAGGGCTGGAGGCCCGGCAGCGAGAGCAGCAGCTGTGCCTATCCCGCGAGGCCGCCGCCGCCGCCCCGGCGGAACCCGCGAGCGAAACTCGTCCTCCGAGTCGTCCATTTTGTCGGCGCAGCTGCGCAGGCTCCGCCTTCCCGTCGCCGCGCGAGCGCCCCCTACCGCCTGGCGGCCTTCGCTGCCGCAGCCCCGCACCGGAACAGAAGGCGGCGTAAAGCAGCAGAAGCGTCTACCATTTTTATTGCACATTTTATCCGAGACGGTTGCACAACCTTCTACTGCACCAGGCCGCCCCATCTGGGAACCCCAGGCAGAGAGGTGACGAAGGCAGCCCAAGGAGGCCACTGAGCTTCTAGCACTGGGGCTGGTTCAGTGCTTCTCCAGGGCTCGAGCAAGCAGTTCGTTCAGCCGGTTCACCATCGGCCGGGGGTCTTCGCTGAGTCCTGCCGTTATCATGGCATTGTCATAGATCTGCAGCCAAAGGAGGAGCCAGAGGTGGTCACGTCGCCCAGGCAGCGGACTCAGAACACAGCCAGAAAGCACAGGGCTGGGGGGTCCTGCCCTCAAACAGGAGGGCAGAGAGGAGGCACTCGGATTCTCCTTTGCCCACTGGGGGCGGCAGGGAGACCAGGCCCTGTTCAGCTCGCTTGGCTCTTCCCAACTCCCTCACCTTGATGTGCCAGCAGTATCTAAGACAACTATTTCAGCTAATTGAAAAGCTTATCATTTCTTATTTTCTGCCCTTTTAATTTTTTCATTCTGAAAGAAAAATGTGTTTCAGCAGCCCGGGTGGTGCACCAAGGATGCTGCTAGCACATGGATGGGCTCACACCCATCTACTTGACACAAGTATGAAGGACAAGATAGGGGTAGAAATGAACCTCCTCTCAACACAAAGCAGCTCTACCTCAAAATTAATAATTAGCAAGAAGGGAACTGATGTTTGTATTTACATTCACTTGAGAAAAAGGAATTACAAGAGAGTAAGCAGGCACACAAGCAGGAAATAGCAATAGCACTTAAAACTTATATACCGCTTCACAGTGTTTTACAGCCCACTCTAAGTGATTTATGGAGTCAGCATGTTGCCCCCAACAACCTGGGTCCTCATTTTACCAACCTCAGAAGAATGGAAGGCTGAGTCAACCTTCAGCATCTCAGGATTGAACTCCTGGCAGTGAGCAGTGAGTTAGCCTGCAATATTGCACTCTAACCACTGGGCTACCAGGGCTCATCAAAAGAAATGTGGTTGCACCACTCCTTTAAGCCAGAGATCCCCAATCTATGGGCCGCAGGCCACTCACCTGGTCAAGCAACATTTGGGCCAAGTCAGGATGGTCAATTCGTAACTGGTTAAGTTTCTTGACTAGTGTGTGTCTAGAGAAGAAAGCGGCAGGGTAAGAGCTGCAGGCCAGGATGGAGAAGAGCCTTCCCTACAGGAGGTCTCCAAAATCAGCCTTAGTCCCCCAGATGACTTCTTCCTCATACCCGGCATTGATCTCCAACGTGGGTTGCAGGATTTGGGCTCGCTCTTCACTGGTTTTTGCCAGCTGCTGCATGCGCAGGAAGTGGCGGGCAGCACCCATCTCCAGCACTGTGATCATGGCTGGATGTGAATCCAGACGTGGAGTCACCTGTAGGCAACAAGACCTTGGGACATGTTTTGCACCCCAGAAACTGCCAAGCTCACACCAATAACTTTCTTCCCTAAACCTGCTGACTCTAGGCCGCTCACTCCTCCCCTTGCCCTTGTGGCATTTCACATGCTGATGCAGAAGCAATTGATCACAATCACCAACAGAAATGTCCATTAAGCCCAGGTATTAGTGATCTGAAATGAGGACAGAGCTCAAGTAGGATTTGACAATAAGACTCCGTCTACAAGGAGTGCTTGAAGCAGCTTGGGAACGAGGATGGTTGTTGTGGGTGTGCAACAAATGCAGCAACGGAGGTGAGGAGTCTGTCCAGGGATGCTGTCCAGGAGCCAGACTTAACCCACCCTTTCTCCACGCTCTTCGTCCCACTGGGGTTACATGCTATGGGAAACGCAGCTGAAGTCCAGGCTCCCTAGGATGACACAGCCCCGGGGGGCTCCTTGGTTCCCCCCACAACCTCACCTACAGTGCATGGCCACCCTCATCTCTCACCTTGACAGCAGCAACCCGTGAGCCAAGGGCATTCCTCATCCAGGCTAGGAGGTCCTCCACTGCTTGGGAGCTCAGGCGATTTTCAGCTGCAGTGCAAGGATAAAAGCAGCATTTTGAGGAGAGAAATGATAAACTGAATCAAAGCTCTTTGCGTTCATTCCCTTCCCATCTCCAAAGGGATCTAACAAGCCTTTCTTTGGTCTTTCTACAAGTAACCAATAGAAATTCTTCCTTATTTTTGGCCAAGGAAGGCCCCAATGATCAAAAATGCTCCTGATAGGCACCTACCTGAGTGACTTTCTTCAAACGTCTCCTCCTTGTAATGGTCAACAGCAATATCTGTCTCTACTGAGATCAGTTTCTTTTTGTCAAACTCACGTAGGTGCAGAAGAGTCAGCTCATCAAACTGCTTATAGCAGAAGAGCACCTGGTGGCCCAGAGAAGGGAGGTGTACTGTCATTTAGTATGGATCATATACATCTTTGATCCCTTGGGAAATGCCCAACCGCTGACCAGGGCTAGGTCTGCAACAATCTTAAAATCCCATTCCTACCATTTACAGCAAGTTGGCAGAATAGATGGTGAAAAGGAGCCTGAGCAGAATGAAGTTGGTGAAACAATAGCTCCCATATTTTGCTCCAGGCGGGAAGCATCACAAACCAAGTACTGGATCCTTCCCAGAAGCACCTTTGCTCTTCTTAGCTCTAGCCTCTGAATCTCTTTGCTCACCTCAACATTTTTCTTCTTTGTTGCTTCATAATATGGAGAATGTTCAGCCAAGTTGCGAGTGGGAGCACATAGATAATAGATGTTTCTACTGCCAGCTGGCATACGGCTAGCATATTCTGGGAGGCTGGTTAATTGGCCTGGAGGTAGCAACGAGGACTCATAGCGCAACAGCTTTGCTACTTCCTCCTGGGAGGGAAGTCAGGTCAGTCAAGAGGGAAAGAAAGGTAATTGTGCTTGCCCACCCCTCCCTGCATCCATGACGAGCTCCAATTGGCCTCTAATTACCAAAGGAAAGGCCCTAATTACCAAAGGAAAGGCTGAGGGCTTCAGAGACGTGGGAGCCTCTTTGGTCACTCCCAATACCTTGGCTTCCTGCTCAGGCAGCATGATAATTCCCTCGCGGATAAACAGTCCGTAGTCCTCAAAGAATGTGGCATATTTCTCAGGGTCCTTCTTACTCTGGTCAATGAAGAACTTGATCAGCCTCCGTTGTAAAACCTCTCTGAGCTTTCTACACAAGAAGATCAAACAATAATGCAGCAATTAGTAAGAAAAGAAATGGAACAAGAGGATGTGACTTTCTGCAAAGCCAAAACTGGCAGTAACTGCAAGGCCTTACTTCTCCACAACTCATGCTGATTTGATCCAAACAATCCTAGCATACCGGGATCTCAGGCTGCAATAGAGGGAGAGGTCCACAACTCAGCTGAATTGTTAAGTGACATCATAGTACACCTGAGTTCTCTTTTGAAATGTGATAACCTCCTTCTGTACTTGCTTAGAATGACAAAATATCAACTAACTCCCAGATAAGCGGAAACTACTACTGTTTTTATATCAACCATGTTCAGACACCACCTCCAAAAATATTAGGTCTTCAGATTGCAGCCATGACAGAGCAAGTCCAAGAGAAGCCAATACCCATCGAGACCATTTGAACCAAGCTTCTTCCTCACCTAAGAAGGATACTCTCTTGAAGCAGTTCTCGGCTGAGATTCAAGGGGATATCCTCACTGTCCACCACCCCTGAAAGAAGGTAAATAGATAAGCTGTGTTTTGCAACAATGCTACTAATCTCCAGCCTCTTCCTCCTAAATAGGGCTCTTCTGACTACCTTTCAGGAAACGTAACCATTTGGGTAAGATCTCAGTAGCTTTGGTCAGGATGAGGACCTTGCGACTGTAGAGAGCAACACTGGAACCTTGCTCCTGGCTCACATCAAACATGGAAGGTTTCTAGGAAGTTATGAAAGAGAAGAACAGATGGAAACCAGAGAGTTGCAGTGCAAAAACCATCCTCCTGAGGCGAGTTGAGATCCTGTTACAATCTCCTCACATGTCAGTTTTAGATCTGAGGCAAGGCTGCCCATCCTGCCCACTCACCACCCCTGGCACGTAAAAGATACTGCGGATGTTGAGAGGTGCATCGGTCTTGTAATGCAGGGTGTAGCGAGGCTCATCGTATGCATGGGCAATAAAGTGGTAGAACTCTCTGTGCTGCCAATCTCCAACCTCCTTGGGCTCCATCATCCAAAGGGCCTGAGCAGAGGGAACAGATTCTTAGTTGAAGCTAGCCCCGTGCCCAAAGCGGGAACATCGATGAAGGAAGGAAAGGCAAGTTTCCGTGAACATAGTGGCATTTTGCAGATGGAGCTGGTGCCATCAGTGATTTTTATCAACCCCAAAGAACCACAGGAGATCCAAATAGTCAAAGGGCACAATTAAGTGTTTCTATGCTACATGGATGTCAGGGTAGAAAAGGGCAGCTGGCATTTCAAAGGCCACTTCCTCCACAAAGGTCTTCTACAGATGCCAGTGGACTGTGGGACCCCTGCTTGCTAAAATGCCATTTAACTCAAGCCCAGCTTCAAGGGCCACCCGATATCTGCTCTACCTGCAAGGTGTTGACACGTTGCCCGTTCAGATAGAGGGGGAAACTGATGAAGTTGCTATACTTTTTGATGATGTCTAGAAAAAAAAAAAAAAAAGCTGAAAACTCTGCCAACTCCCTCTGCTCCCCCAGTAGGGGTCTTTATCCATTCAATATGTAACTGGGACCAGATGTTAATCAGCGGCAGCCACTAAACAGACTGGACACAATTGAAGAAGGAATTCAAAATTGCAGTATGGGACCACATAATATATTACTTAATGAAGTTTTTTTTTTTTTTTTTGGAACCAATTATAAAACCAACTCTAAGTGTTGCAATTAAGCCACCAGGCCCTTCACGGCTAGGCACCGTCTCCAAAAATATTCCTTCCAGTCATCTTCAGAAGCATTACTCGGAGGGCCTGGGTTACGCTCACCCAGCGGCTAATCAGGACTATGCTGAAGAGATGGATAAAATTATAAAAATAGATCCTATCAAATGGCAAGGGCTTACACACAAGACATTTTGAAAGCATTCTGCAAAGCATCTACTACAGCTATTATTCCTTAGTCGCCAAGC